GGAAATCATTCCTTAATAGAAACTACTGTACGCATTTTAATTATAGCATTTTGTTTCTAGCTGTAGAAATCAATGAAATGGCCATTTTTTATTCTGCCCAATAATTCTATCTGTCCTATTTAGTAAATTTCTCTTTGCGTGCTTTCTCTAATTATTTTTCCTTACTGATTTAGTTTATGATATTTATCTTAATTTCCTTTAATTTAATTGATATTATGATTTGTCATTAAAAATCAATTAATACAGCTAATAAAATCGCCCGTAGTCTGAAAATTTGTAAACCTACTCAAGGCACTGTATTACCCTTATGGCTTGGAAATCTTAGCTTAACGCTAGCAGATGAAAACATATCAGTAGTAAGTGTACGATACCCAATCAAAAATAAGAGATATGTTAGAATTGTTTAGAATCCCAAATTGGTACTGTATGATTTTGAAAATACTACTTATATTTTGGCAAAGTCTCATAAAATCTGATTAATAATACTGCAAGGCACGATTTAGGACGTAAATTATTAATTGTGAATATACTTATCAACTTATCCTTGCTGTACGTATCCTGCAAAGTTGTTAAGAATAATATCATACACAGCTTTTGGTTGTTTGGGTTAAGTTCTAGAGTCACTACGGGTTAATTATCATATTTTACATATTGTCTTTTTTGCTACGAAGGTGCAATATCATTTTCTTAAAAAGTACGACAAATATTCTACAGTATGGCTTCAAAATATGAATGTTTGCAATCTTACTGACTCTGAAACCAAGGGGATGATGACATAGCATCGCTAATTTTTGAAAAGCAGCTGACTTCGTATCGTATGCTATGCGAGAATACGCTTGTGAAGGAGTCTGCGATTGTTATCCTACTTATTGATATATGTCAATATTGAATCTCGTGCAGTCTTAACCCATTAATTAACCATTGTGATGCCGTGTCAGGCATAATTGCGATTATTATAAAACTGCACGAACACAGAAAAGTTATATGCTAAACGTAAATGACTTTCATAATCGACAATGATACAAACTATATCGATAATGACATGATAGTTGATTAAGACTGTTCAGCTTACGCACGAAATACGTATATGGGTAATTATATAATTGCAGATGTATACCGTATTCGATGATGCATGAATACCAATTAATATAGGGCGGTTTAATTGCCCAGCATCATTAAATTACATTATCCAGTAATAGCGTTATTTAAATTTTGCTATAAATGTAAGTTGCATTGTTTAATTCTAAATAAAATTAGATTAGATGACAGTATTACTCAATATCAATCTTCTTTATGGCACAGCCATATATAATTATTCTTATATGTTTTCAGCATGTGTTTTGTACGCCAATGCAACCTTAGTTATATATGTTATTGAGCTACGATGACGTAGTATAAAATTATATGATGTAATGTATTGATATTTATTCATCTATTTTAAGTGCCCTAAATATCATGCCGGTATATCTTCAATCAGTCAAAAAGCCTATCTACTCTCACAATGATTTTGAATGTCGATTTCGTTATGGTTTGATGGTAGTATTTGCCGTAGCAGATATTTTTATCATGACAATTATGGCGTTCACTAGGTACATTATGATGGCTTACCCTCATCGATATAAAAGTTGGTGTACACCTAAAAATAGTATTATCGCAGTTATGTTATCTTGGTTGTTGGCGATATTGTCCGCTTCACCATCTACCTTTGGCTTCTTTACAAAGTTCACTCATTTTCCTACAGTTGGTCTCTGCCTGATATCACATACTGCTGATCAGCCTCTTGAGGATATTATAGTTCTATTAGCTGCTACAGTAATTTACTATGTTATGCCAACAGTGATTATCGGTACTTGTTATTATAAGATTTATATAATCGTAAGAAAAAGTAAGCAGAATCTACAAGTTCATAATTTGCCTGAGCCCAAAAATAATAGAATAAAATATAGCAAAAAAGAAACGAAACTAACCGTAACATTCTTTATTATATTTTTTGTCTACTTCATTTCGTTTACTCCTTACACTATAATCAATGTGTTACAAATGTTTAATGCTGTAGCCTATTCTCTTCATACGACCTATACTCTACTTCTTGTTGTATGCATTAATAGTATCATTAATCCTTATATATTTTTAATTCGGAGTCGAAAATTTCAAAACACCTTTAGAAGATTGTTCTATAAAAACTTCTCCAAGAAGGTTCGAGTTATACCAGCGTCTACACAAACAGATTCTGCGAAAACAGTTGGCAACCAGCATCCTAAGAGGACCTTGTCGACACGACTCGGGATATGTTGATCAAGTGTGGTATCATTCATTACGTTTCTTACCATGATTTCAAACAGGAGCATATCATATACTTTCGGCGTTTTTAAAACTTGAAAATAATATGGTGTAGTCTTATTCATCAGACTGCATTTTCTCACATATTATGAGCATGTTTCAAATATTGACATTATCGTTAGATTGTGAATGATTGCGATATCATACTAATACTAGATTAACAAAATGACGATTATAATTATTTCTTTTCTAATATTAATAGCTTGTTCAGTTTCTCAAACATATCTCGCTTGTACTACATAAGAGGACAATGTTCTCTTTACTACCAATAAATAAAATAGTTACTGTATTTTTAAACTAAAAGTTTCCTTCACTTATTTCGATGGAATGATGCAGCTAATTTTAATGATAACGTAATTCAGTAAACGTAATGTGCAAGTATTAATGGCTAGATAGTACCGATCAATAAGTCAAAAATAAAATTGTATTATTGTATACCTATTATGTTTGCTATAGTATACTTAATGGTAAATCACATTACACAACTACGCGTTTAATATTTCATTTTTTCGTATTATTGATAAGCTATTCGCTCAAGATTCTATTACAGCTATTGCAGTTAAGACTATTACCAAAGGTTTATTAATCGTATTTTCGCCGCTGTTGTACTCTTACATTATACTATAATTATAATTATTAATAACTTACATTTCAATGCGATTGCTTATACAGTATCGTGTTCGCGTATACTTGATACGCCTATTGTAGATTATATTACTGTATAAATACATGAAAATTGAAATTTTGATCGTGCAGTAAAATTAGTTACAGTACGTATTTACTGCTTAGTGCTTGAGCTTGAGCTACGTGGGCGAAAGACGTTGGTTTGATACAGAGATCTACTATGCTTCCAAGATTTTATAACCCTATTTTACGTGTATTATATTATCATACTAAAAAGTTGACTAGCTGCATTAGCCTTTGCTAAATTTGTGATAAATAAATTAAAGGAAATTAAGGTAAATGATTTTTATTGTTTTAATCTCTTATCTGAATATTTTACTATACATACAGAAAGTCTACTGATTGCATGTCATTTAATTTCTCGGATTATTATTTCTGAATTTCCATTTTACCTGGAAATCGTGTTCCAGCTGTATCAAATAATGCATAGTGTCATAGTATCTCCATTGTATTCAAAATTCTAATGCATGAAGATTGAATAATTTATAGTACAGTACCATAAAACCAAGAAAGTCTTATATCAACTACTTCCAATAGCTAAATCTTAGGTATATAAAGAGTAAATTTATTTTTATGATGTGTACCGAGAAATGCTATAAAATAAGAGTATGAAACATGATGTGTTGTACAGAATGAAAGCTGGTACAGGCATACAGTACAGTACAGTACAGTAGAGGTTTTTATGGGTTTTATTTTACCGTGCTGTACTGTTCTGTACTTGATCCATCTGTACGTCCGTATACTTCCAGTCGTTGACTACGACTACTGTGCGGTACAATACCGTACAGTGTACAGTACAATCGAGCATCAACTTTTACTGTACTTTACAGTACTGTGCACTGAAGCCCATAACTCTATAGTACTGTACAGTACAGTATGGTAAGCTCAGTACTGATAAAGTGTAGCAATACTGTTGAGTACGCTACTGTACTGTACTCAGGTAACCAGTCTAAACGTCTTAACTCTCGCAAAATCAATCTTTCAAAATGAATTACGTTTCCTGTTAAGAAATATTTTTTTCTTGCTTGCTGGATCCTTCTTCCCCTTCGTGATTGGTTCACATTTCATTTATTAAAGGATAATTTTAATGGATAAAGCAAAATTTATACGTTAATGGATACAAACTGTCTTTTAGCCAATCAATTTTACCAACAACCTGCATCATGCAATAGTGGATCATCCAACTTTGCCGACAGCAGTGATAACCAGAAGCTCTGTAGTCAAATATTTGGTAAATTGATGTAACTTCTGTGCAATAGGCGCATTTTCTTTCTATTTTGTCTACATGAGGTCTTTATTCAGCACTTAGGTTGCAAAATGCTTGGATGTTAGTGATCTTACGTAGTATAGATATATATATGATCAAGCTGTAATGTACCTGCCAATATACCCCTGTACAAATATCATTTACATAGTACTGTGCCTACTGGTACATACCAACATCACATCGACCGGGTGTACAGTTACACATTCTGCACGGTGAACGATTCCATTTTGCTTTATGATAGCGATACCTAACAGTATAATATCGGCGTCAAATAGATTATCCATATACTAGCAATAACTTACTTAAAGGTTCCAGATGGTTCTGTTCGCGTAATTAATTAATCAATACGAGTAGTTGCGATGATAAAGGTCTGCTAAAGAATATTGCGATACCAAATTTCATGCAAATCTTGATTCTATGCAGCTATGTGAATAGCACTGATCCATTAAAATTGATGATTACAATCAACCACCATATGTACAATCCTATACAAATAAGATTTATTACTGAAATAGGCAATGAAGTTCTAACTTTGCTTTAGGTTTGCCTACTAAACTGTCTATTTATTCCTGCTTAATCAATTGTTATACTATTAAAGTGTAAAATGTACAATTGTACAGTAATCCCTATTGTATACCCTTATGAAGAGTAAAGTCAAACCTCAAATCTAGATATAGCCTCATATACCTATAACATCAGTTACGTAGCTATGCCATTCGCTAACCTACGCGCCATGGAAATTCTTTCAACAAATTACGAATGGGGTTATGCAGTGCGTCTATAGTGTGTATTTTTATTGACGTATGCGAGCAGCTATATTTAAATTGACGCATAATTATAATTAATAAGAATAAAAATCCAAATACTGTAGACTGAAATATAAATTGGAACTATCGAAATATTAACTATATGCCGCAATTCTACTCCAGTTTCATGCTATTAGTATTGTAGAATATTCGTGTTGCTAAAGTTTTCTAACTGCAAGACAGTAATTTTAATTTTCTATCATTACAATACCTGGTTGCATTGTATATATACGTCGCATTGAAGCAACATTATATTAATATTTTTCGTTCTCTCTATTTAATTATATATACACGTACTATCCAATTAAAATTTACGTGCAGAACTTATTCGCGATATCAAAGTAAGTGACTTTATATCTTAAGAACAAAACATTTATCAGTTATATTCTTATCAACAATAACTACACCAGGTTGAAAACACCATTAAATTCGATTTCACTTTTTGCTAGGATCCAGAATTACCTCAAACCTTGGAAGAATTAAATGTTGTCACTGAAGATGAGATCTTTGTACGAAATATGAAGCAAGGAGAAGCTTGTATTCGGATTAATTTCACTCCAACAGTTCCGCATTGTTCATTAGCTACATTAATTGGTACGTAAGAAATACTATTCTGGTCATTAATCTATCGTAAGATCAGCCATAAAAGTAATTTTAGCGTTAATCAAGGATCGTAATAGGTATATAATAATAATATGACGTTAGTGCTCCATGTAGCTATCACTGAAAATAAGCCGGTGCGGTCAATTTAATGTAGAATAATTTTACAGCCGATCAAAGCAAAAAATATGCAATGCTTTTTAAGTCATAGTATTAGTATTCTGAAATAATAATATCTGCATCAAATTTGTTTAATTTGCTTAAAATAATAACTACGGTAAATTATCTGAAAGATGTAAACATAAAATGTATTTAATTATATTACGTGTATCGCGGTGCATACTGAATTGGTTTTCAGATAAAAAGGAAGTATGCTTACACTAACTGTATGTTTTTTAATAGGTCTATGTATTAGAGTAAAGTTACAACGATGTCTGGACCAAGATTATAAAGTAAGAGAGGAACTGACAACTTACATCAACTATTGGTGTAGTTTTTTGTAAAATAATAGTCATAGCGAGCGAAATAGTAAAATTATAGATAATATAATACAAATAATTTACTGTGGATACGTCTTCTCTGAATGTGAAATAGTTTTGAACACTTTGAAATATAGAGGCGTGGTTACCGTGTGCATAATTATAATTCTCTGTGATGCATAAACGCTACACACGTTACTACAAAAAGTAGAAGTAAGGTTATGGTATCATAAAATAGGAATCTAAAAATAAAACGTGCATATTTTTGTAATTATCTAGTTAGATATTTACGTTACCAAAGGAAGTCACGATACCGAAGATGGCGGTATGGTATAGTTAAACATTATTTTGTATTTTATATTAAAAAGTTAAGGATATTAAATTTATAGCGCTGCCATCAGTTTTGCTAGAGTAAATTGGTTGTAATCAAGAAATTGTCTCATTAAAATCGCGTTCTTGTTTCTGATTTTGTTGATAGTCAATAAGCAAATCAATGACAAAGAACGCGTTGCTGCTGCTATAGAGAATCCTAATGTGAAGAAATTAGTCGAAGAATGCTTGCAAGAAGTGCAATATTGAAGTTATTACTAATCACGTGAACAGCACGTTTATCATTATACTAACCGTACTACGGCTTCCTCATAAAGTATAATTTAGCTATATGACTTCATGAAATACAATTATCAAATATCCCCTTTATGTATATAACATTTTAGACATACTTGGTTCTCCATTTCTATAATCGCCTATCGCAGTAATATAATTAAGAGTATTATAAATACGTATAGACAGACATATATTACGTATAATAAGGGTTTTAGATGTTCTAATAGTCTGGCGATGTGTTTTATGAGATAATTTTGCTGTGACTGCTGTCGTCGAATTTATGCCATGGGTACTTAGTACATTAACAATGTCCGCAATCCTAGTAAACGTATGCATGGGTATGAAATTAATTTTACGGTAACTTACTCAGGGCAAATATATTGCCATAAATATAGGATGCTAAATTTATGAACTCTTTCTCTAATGGATATTTTATTCTTTGAAGTATGGCGAGAATCGTCTATGTAATAAAGATATTACGCACTGCCACTGTTTTATAATAGTCAGCAAGTGAGATTGTTTATGTTCAAAAAATTAATAGCGAAAGAAAGCTAACGTCAAAGCTCAGATGAAGCTTTAAAAGTAAAAGAAATTTTATTGTAAAAATTACGAAATAATCCCCATCGTTATTTTAACAGTTTAATGTCTAGGAGTATTTCATACTTATTGATTAACATAAAGAAATGGAGTCTTTCAAATTATACTCGTATAGTACATTTATTTAAGAATAACGTTGTTAAAATTTCCTATATCTACAACTTATACCTTACAGTACATACAATCGATATCTAGGAACAAGAATTTATTCGACATCTCTGTATAGTTAGAAATAGCCATTTTTTCATTGTTATATCGAATTTAAGTTAACTCTTATAATTACTTTATATATAAATATGCATTACTACGACCATTAAAAGCTGTACTTAGTAGCATTTATATAAAGGCTTTACATCTATTACAATAAATTAATAGCATGGTGAAATTGATTAAGAAAATTTCAGTCAAATAAATTACTGGTATTTATCTACGTCTTCGAGAATACTTTTTTCAAGTACAAACATTTGAGTGCGCTATTATGTTACCGAGCTATATTTGTCATTTATCTTTATCAACTTGTGCTAAGAGCGCAGCCAATTTTTCGAGTACAATAACGACTAGGTTATCAGTGACTACATTAATTACAAAATAGGCAATATACCCGTACGCACATATGGTTAGAGATACGAAGTTGTTCTATCATCGTCACAAAGCAAATCTTAGATGAAAATTACTGTGTTTAAGGTAAGGCTTGACCTTGACACTGTAAAGTTGCAAGCAACAAGCAATTTATTTTAATGCATACCGATGAAAGACGTTAATGATGAGGGAAGATTTTTGTAATTAACATTATTCTTTACAATAGCAGACGAAGTCAAGCAAAGAAGAGATGGTAAACATTGCTTTCTCAGCAATCGCTTGACGTTGATATCCACAATTTTGTCATAGGCTGTGTAGCCTGAAGAGTTTCGAATATCGAAATGAGAACCATACTTTAATAACAAAGATATGATATCAAAGTTAACCGGATACAGATGCGCTGTAGAACAGGATAGATGTAACGGTGAATTTTTGTTACAATCTAAAACGTTGACCTCGGCATTACAATGAGCAATCAAATATTCCACCAGGTAGAGGCAAGGAAATTCGCGAAGATTATATTGTAAAGCCATAGGATCAGCTGATACAACAAGGTGAAGAAAAGTTTGCTTATTATCGTAGGTAACGATATCAATATTTAATAACGCCGCAGTAAATTTATCACGTTCTGAGTTCACCTCACTTTGTATATCCAGCCAACAACGAATTAAATGCAAGCAAATACTCATAAAACGATCTACAGAAAAGTTATCACTAATAGGAGGCCGTGATAATGCTTTTAATTTGTTTGGATTATCCCTCTGTAGGCATATTGAAATGAGACTAATTTCTTGCAATATTCTGCGACAAACAGCAATTAAAATATGAATAGGAAAGCTCGTCCCATTTATAATGAGTCGCTGAAATAAAGTAAGGAATGAAACGAAAGACTTCTCAATAGCTGGATCAGCAATAGGCATATATTGTTGTTGCAAATCAAGAGCATACAGCCATAATGACCAACAACGCAGTAATTGTTCAGAATCACCGTACATTGCTCCACGCACTCGTATATAATACTGCGTACTTGGGTGACCATCACCTATGATACACTCACGCAAGGCTAAGCTTTGCATCCTAATATGATCAGGATTGATAGATAGTCTATCAATATCAGCAGCACCGCGAATGATAGTTATGTAGTCATATGCAGGCAGGGGTTTACTGGTTGAAATTAAATTAGAAACTGAACGTTGTTGATCTTTAGTATCTTGCCACATCGTCAAAGCCGTCCGCCAGCAATGTAATGCTTGAGCTAGATCATGTAATTTATCGGCAGCGGTACAACCTAACAAAATTAGAGCCTTACATTTATCCGATAGTAAACATTTGCGACGCGTTATATACCATTTGACAAATAGGCTATGGCCAGATAATGCACCATGCATCAATGGTGTGGTATTAAAATGATTGGGGACGGGAATAGCGCCGTACTTTAATAATAATTTACAGATTCTGATACTTCCAGAAGTAGCACACTCATGCAAAGCAGTCTTACCACTCACAGTTTGAGCATTGACATTGACACCGCGCTTCAATAACATTGTGGCAATCTTGCGATATCCTTGCCTACAAGCAGTCATCAAGCAGGTATCATTCTTAACCGTTGCGATCGAAGGATCGGCTCCATGATCAATTAAATACCGGACGATATCGCGATTACCGGCTGAGCAGGCAACCCGTAAAGGTGTTGAGAGATGTCTTGTGGCGTGATTGATCTGTAGAAATATAATAAGGAATACTTCAATTTCTCGATTCATTAATAAATACTGCCAAACTACACCTAGCTATATTATCCATAAGACATTATCAAAGTTTCATAGGAGTACTGCAACTGCAGACTAGCAATAAAATGAAACTCTTATTGTCAATTATTCATTTGCAATAGACCTAATGATGACTTTGGAATAAACGTATATGTAGTAGTTTCATCTAATTACAGTAGTAATTGAAGTATGGTAGCATTAAGAAGCACTACAGTATGATTGTAAGTAGTGAGATAGCTACAAAAGGAATATCTGTTATCACTACAGTACTGTATAATACAGTATCATAGGAAAGAGAATTTTCCATTGTACTTATAATTATTTACAGCACAAGCCAAGATTTACACTTTAAATGTTGATTAATTTAATTCAACGTCTGTCATCTTCTTATTGAAATTAAATGTAAAAAGAATCACGCATAACGCATACGCGTAAGAGCCATATTGTACCTGAGCTCCATTCTGAATTAATATCTTAATACTTGGAAAGTGAGATCGAAGGCAAGCTATCCACAACGCAGTAGCACCTTGTACTTTCTCTTTCTTAATGAAGATATCACATTCTTCTTCCAAGTCCAATTTATAATGCTTGACTAGTATTGATAATATATCGGAATACTCATGTAACGCAGCGGTGATCTGTAACGGATGGCACCGTACCGTTGATTTTTCAAAGTTTGCTCGATAAGAAATTGGTAAATTCTGTATAAATTGTTTAGCACCTTGTGGGCACTTGCGTGCTATTTGCCAAAGTTTTCGTTCACTCATTTTTCTTCTTATTACTATTTTAATCCGTTTTTACCTTAGCTACTGATTGCAATCTTCTACGGACGTAGAGTAGAAGACGACTGTACCAACGCTTGGCGGTGAATAACCAATCTACCGGTCTCCTTTTAATTACCGTCTAATCATATGTGGCAAAGAGTGTCAACCACCATACAAATAAAGTAGCTATAGATAGTTCCAAGTCAATGAATTGCTAATTAATTATTATTATTATTATTACATCAACAAGGTAGTATTGTAATCCCTACGATATTGAACAGCAACGATAGAATCGTTGGCAGATGACAAAGTAAAGGAAAAGGTGACTGCTATACCATTTCTGTGCTATTCAACAATGTGCAGTACTGTAGGTACATCAATCGATTAATACCGTTCAATTGAAATCTTTTTAAATAGATAGAATGGCAGAATGCTAATGTTGAGTTAACGCTGATAACTTGGTGTACATGTAAATAAAGATGATTTTACACGTAGGTTATTCTAATTGTATAATTGTGATTGTATGAATATTCAAAGAGTTTGATCATCAAAGTAATGATAGTATTGATATTAAAAGATCGATCAACATGATGTGCAGCTCATGTTATCATGGAAAGATCAAGATAATGTTATACACGACCCTGTACAGTATCGTTGGGCATGATAAGAACAAAATTTGCTATCCTCATTGAATGTCATTAAAAGGTGGATGAGGTTACACTTGGCAATTTGTCATGGTTTGCATTCTGCTGATGTACAGAGCACGACAGTCGATTTGTCTTGACAAATCACTTACGATAATTAATTAATTTTACTGCTTAGCTCGAGTCCTGCCAATCGATGAGCTTTGACGACGTACACGGCGTATCCTATTTAGCGTGATATCCACATGGTTGTTTACGGATTGTGTCATTACTTTACTGTAAATCAGACCATCACTATAAACCAATAACTTGAATGATGGCGAAATGATCACATTGATGAAAAACCAAATCAACTATGCCAGATGTAATTGGTAATTTGATCTTATGATCATTAATATGCAGTATTACTCTAGCTGTTGTAGTCGTATTCTATGAAGAAAGCCGGAGTTTCCGTGTATCCACTGGGGGGCCAGCAATGCATCTCCGAACCATCTTAAGCTACAGTATTAGAGTACCTTACACTGCGATAAATTGGCCCCAGTTTATTTATACTGTACACTGTACACTGTACCCATGTGGTACAGGGGTCGGAGTTTTTTTGACCATACCGGACTGGGGGTGACACTTCAAATTGGAGAGACTTTTACAGTACAGTATCCTATAAGTAGAAATGAGGGGGGGGGGCCGACTTTTGACTGGTCATTTGAACCTGTGTTAAACCGCTGTACCTATAGCCGCTAGAACTTGCATCAACTGCATTCACACTTCAAGTTAATATTTACTGCTGGCTATCTTGTAGTTAACGTTAACGCAGCTGATCCTGGAACAATAAAGGCACTGATTCAAGATTGGTGCGGGATCTTTCCAAGGGTGGGTACGCCAGTCTGTACCTTTCCAGCAGATAATATTATTTTTCTTTTTTCTCCACGAATAATGATTACAATAATGTCATAAATGATGGATATGGAGTTTCCACTCTCCACTTCAAGTGGAACTGCTTTCTCATTCAAAATTGTCTTATCATTCTATTTATTTATATGCGTAGAGACGAGCACAGTAATTGTATTCATCAATTAATTATCGGTCGAAATTCCACTCTTTGGCGGTGAAAAGCCAACGGTCAACGTCGATGTCAGGGCGTCCAAAAGTAACTAAAATACAAGTCCGTCAAACCGCTTCACGCCTTCTTGGCGTTGCCATTGAAACCATCATTGGTGTCCGTCAACTGGAAAGTTTCGAGGATTGCAATTATCATATTAAAATCAACAACAAAGAGAATGATTGCAATGATCAATTTGTCCTCAAAATCTTAAATCTGCAAAGTAATCAGATCAAAGATGCCATTGAATGTAAAGTCTTAGCTTGCCAATTTCTTAGCCAATCAGGAATCCAATGCTCAAAACCAGTTCTACTGACCAATGGCAGTTATATGGATATGGTGACATTTTCATCTTCTGATAGCGCTGAAAACACCGTTCACAATGATCATATCGTATTTATAGTAGAATATTTACAAGGTATCTTATTACGTGATATGGAGCCTAAATTTGATAATACGCTGATGTACCAATTAGGCCAAGCAATCGCAACCATGGACAAACAACTTCTCGTAAGTCAATCGTGGCTTTTAGCAAAGGGAGCAACTTGATCAAAATGTTGCCCAATCATTAAAATATGGTATCATTTTCGGTTAATAGTTTAGAAATCTTATTGATCTACTACGGTAGTCATTGGTAGGTGTAGATAAAAAAACTAGCAATCGATGTCGACGAGCTTACTAATTAAGAGACGTGTACTCTCTTTTGTTTTCGTAGAAATTTCAAAGTCATCAGCGCAAGTTTTTTACTGGAGATTGGTCACTACATGATAACTTTGCTACCTTAGATCGCTATCTCCAATATATCCACATGGCATCAAAAAAGGACATCCTCACTGAGATATTCCAATCCTGTAAAATAGCCATGCAACAGATATTGCCTCAATTGAAGACATGCTTTATTCATGGCGACGTTAATCCTGGCAATGTAATAGTATCAACATCATCATCCAAAAGTACTAGTGTTAGCCAAGTGGGATCATCACATCAAGGAATAGGAGTAATTGATTTTGGAGACTTTCACTACAGCTATTTGATAATAGAATTGGCAATTGCAATAGCTCATGTTATGGCTGAAACAACAACCGATGCAATAGCTAACAGTGGGCATTTATTAGCCGGTTACCTTTCTGTTGTCCATTTAAATCCTAAAGAATTTAATCTCCTTTATGATGTAATATTAGCGCGATTATTTCAGCTAATGGTACTGTCTGAATATGTCTATACCCTTGATCCTAGCAATAGTTACGTTATTGATAGGGTCCCTAATTATTATCAAGCAATAACGATGTTGTGGAAATTATCAAGAGAAGAAGTCTATCAAAGATGGCATGATATCATCCAATCATATTAGTGATACAGTGAAGCACTTTACTTAGTTCAATAGATGGGCAACATAATATTTTCTTTTCTTAAAAGTGAGATTTTTATCAGACTACTACTGCATTCAATTTAGATAGAGCAATAGGTTGATTTTAGCTAATCACTGTTATGTATTTTATAACATCTATAAACTGAATTATGTTTAATTACATCTTCATGCATACGATTATTATATAATCAACGATAGATTATATTATCCATAGTAACATGCTAGATACTCATTTTTATTTCTTTGTTTCAGCCATGATACTGAATAAAATGTCCTTCAATTTGACCATATTGAAGCTATTATTCGAGTGTAACTATAAATTTTAGACTTACCGGATAGTTTATTCTGTACATTGAAATCATTATTATTTATTTTTGATACGATGGCTGATATCCTAAGGGTTGTCCTGAAAATTGACAATTAATAATTGTTGTTGTTGCTTTTAATTGATACATTGTACCGTTTCCTATAGTAAAATGATTGATTTTCTCTAATTACGTTCAATTCTATATTTATGTCTTTTAATCCTAAAGATTATAGTCTAGTATAGATTATAAACTAATAGTGTATTTACAGGGGCACAAATATTGTTTAGCTGCGCTAAATGATTGATCAATCGGTCTACTAATAAAATACTTTTCCATCAAAGCGCAAATTCGCTTAATCTATACGGTTTATTGATTTGTTTTATTTGAGGTAGGTTAACAAGTGTTTTATAGCATTCGATATTAATATCATCGACTTATTAGTATGATATTTGCAAATGGTAACCTATCTATGCATATTGTATACTATATATATATATATATATATACACGTACATTGTATAGTATCTTACGGTTAATTATCATCGTGATTTAGTTTAATCGCATCTTAATCATATCTTACGGTAAACCATGCCAACAGGAAATGATAGCACAGTGCTCGCATAACTATTTTTAGCTACATGAAGGACGAATGATAGTATTTAGGAAAACTGAAATCTATGATTTTAATTTAAAAGATCATTAAAATTTACATTTGAAGAATAAATGCGTGTATATACACAGCTATTATTGTTATGATTAATTTTAGAGTATCTTTAGTAACAATTTATAGAATGATCATATTACCACCTAAACTACGGTCGGTATGCACCATATTCGCTCTTTAGTTCAAAATCACATTAACACTCCATCATTGGTACATACAACATACCAAGGAACAGCCGGACCTTATTACTGGTAATTAATCTATGATTGTCAAATTACATTCATCTAAAATGTAAAATGACCATTAGGTGAGGGATGGACGGCATTATTTTTGCTAAGCTTAGATTTTGAGCTCAAAGATTGAAGATTTGTATCAGTGCCCGATCTATTTGACATTGTGAATACATTTTTATCAATTTTTTTGAAAAATGTTTTAGCCCAGCAATTACGAACTTCTCTTTTAGCCACACAATAAAAGATAAATATAAGAAATCCCTGGGAACCAGCCAGAATAGCGAATAGAAGATGCGATAAATCACGCCAAAGACTGGTATCAAAGAAGGCCAATATACCAACCAGCCATGTCAACCCAAATAAAGACATCAATCCAATTATAGAATAAAAGCGAGAGAACGTCATGGGCATATTTCGCTCTTTTGACAATTTCCAGACTTGAAACAAATCGTAATGA